TGTCTTTTACTGTAATAAATATTTTAAATTTAAAAAGGGGGCCCCAGGCAGGACATGGGCTCATGAGGTAGTTAACTGACTACGTTATCTTGAGTAAGAAACCGCCCACCTCACTGGATCAGCATCATTCTGCCTGTGGCTGAGGTGATTTACTGAAAATAGAAGGGCCAACCTAGGGAAATTTGTTGGATGGTATAAAAGGAAAGAAAGCAGGAAGGGTCACTTATGTATTTCTTCAGAGAAGCTTCATTGTTCATTTCCACTTTGTATGTCATCTCCGAGCTTCCAGTGAAAACTTTTCAGCCTTGCAGAGCAGACTGCAGCCTCCTGTACAGAAGTTTCAGCCTTCGAATGTAGAGAGGACTGATGACCACTTTGTTTATTAAAGGAGCACACTGTCTTACATGCCAAATGAGGAAAACGGGTATCGTATACTGAAAGAGAACAAGCAGACAGGCCTGGCATGTGGGACTGGGCACTGGAACCTTCAGCAGACAGGCCCAGTGTGGGACCAAGACTGCAGAAAGGCCCAACTAGATGGGTTTGAACTTGGTCGGTCTGAACACAGTGAGTTAAGGAACACTGCTAGACCCAGATCTAAGAAAGCATTCTCTGCCTCTTGAGAGAAAGAGGAGGCAACAGGTAACTGAGGTGAACTAGTCTGCCTGGAGGACTCCAGATACATCAAGGGCATGGGACCAGACAGAAGTTAGGGGAACTAATTTAAATACAAATTTACAATTTAATATCTGCTTAGCAATACAGTTATAATATTTTCTCTTGTGGTTTAAAATACAATTGATTACAAAATTTGGCAAGCATTAAATCTCACTACCCATTATTAGTATTGATAATTGTAGTACAATAAATAGGAAACTATATCTGCCTTAACCACATGATCTCTCTTGGGTAATAGCAGCAGAAGGTGCTTGGATGATAACAGCACCAAAGCTCTACACCCAAAATCAGAGGAGAGTACCAAACAGAAACCAGTATCTCACACTCAATCAATGTAGAGGGCAAAACCATGGGACATACACAAAATAATCACTGACACAGAAGAGACACCTAAAGAACAGACTCTATACAGAAAGGCTCTGGTCACAGTGATACAGCTATCAAAATTTCACACACAAAAAAAAATCAAAGAAATCAAATTAAAGAGTTCTCTCTGAAATATAAAATAACAAACAGAAGGAACAAAATGCATTCTCAAGCCCTGAACCCACTCAGATCAAATGCAGGAGACACTACAATAGAAAAAATTGGAAGTCATACACCTGAGAGTTCTGAAATAATAGTGTCTGGAATACAAAACGACTGCAGAAAGGTAGAGAGGAAATGAGATCAGCAATAATCTCCATAACAAAAGAAGAAATGATAACTATAATGAAAGAATTACTAAGTGATCTAAAGAAGACACTGATAAACAATAGAGAATAGAAAAATAATAGAAACCCTGAATGAGCAATATAGAAATGAAACAGAATGCATGAAGAAGATTCAAAGAGATATTCAAGAGATCAAAAACTCAAATAAAAGTTGGCAGTGAAATGAAATGTATGTAAGTCAAGATTTACATTCATACATTGAAGACATTGTTGTAGCTAGTGAAAAGGTAAGGAAAGATCTCTTAAAAACAACTCAGATCCAGGGAATAATAATGCAACAGCTGCAAGATGATAGAAAGATGAATAATATAAGACTAATAGACATCAAAGAAGTAATCAATAAAAACAACATAAAAAGAATATGGGCAGAAGTAATAGCAGAAAACTTCCCAAATATGGGGAAAAAATCTGACATTCAGGTAACTAAGGAATATAGAACTCCAATTAACATCAACCCAATTAAAACCAGATCCAGGTATATAATAATGAAGATCCCAGATATTCAGCACAAAAACAGCATACTAAAAGCCACTAGAGAAAAGAAACAGATCACATTTAAAGGGAAGCCCATCAAATTAAACATGGGACATTTTCTAACATAGACCACATATTAATCCATAGGTCATGCTTAAGTATATGCAAAAGAAGAAGAAATTATCCCATGTGTATTATCTGACCACAGTGCAAAGAAACTGGAAATTAATGACAAAAGAAACCACAAAGTCCTCATAAACCCAAGGAAACTAAATAACACCCTCCTCAGCAACTAATGGGTTATAGATATTAAATAAGAAATTAAACAATATGTTCAATTCAGTGAAAATTTGAGCACAACTTATTGGAATTTGTGTGATGTAATGAAAGCAGTTCTTGGAGGGCTGTTTATAGCTGTGAACTCACACATTAAGAAAACAAAATGAAAACAAATAAATACCCTAACGCTGTACCTCAAAAGTCTAGAAAAAGAAGAGCAAATCAAAGTTAAAGCCCCAAAACAGGAGGATATTGTAAATTTTAGAGCAGAAATTAATGTAATTCAGACAAAGAAAACAATACAAAGAATAAATGAATCAAAGAGCTGGTTCTTTGAAAGATTAAATAAAATTCATAAACCCCTAGCAAACCTCATCAAAAAAAAAAAAAAAAAAAAAAAAAGAAAGAAAGAAAAAACTCCAAATCAAGCAATAAGGAATGAAAAGTGTAAAATTACTACAGGCCCTGTGGAAAGTCAGAATGCCACCAATAGCTACTTTGAAAATCTTGGCTTCCACAGAATTGAAGACACAGGAGAAATGAACAAATTCCTAGAAAGGTACAAACTACCAAAAGTCAATCAAGAAGATTTGAGAACTCTGAATAACCCAATATCAGCCAATGAAATTGAAAATGTAATAAGAAATTTACCAACAAAAAAGCCCAGGCCATAATAAATTCATAGTTAAATTCTACAAGGCATTTAGAGATTTAATCCTAACCCTCTACAAACTCTTCAACAAAATTAAAAAGGAAGCAAATCTCCCAAGTCATTCATAGAGGCAAGTATTATACTGATACCCAAACCAAAGACAGATTCAATCAAAAAAGAGAACTGTATGCCAATTTCCTTGATGAATTAGATGCAAAAATCCCTAATAAAATCCTAACAAATAGAATACAGCAAATCATTATGATTATACACCACACCCAGGTAGGATTCATCCTAGAGATGCAAGGATGGTTCAATATATGCAAATCTATAAATGTAATACACTATATCAATAAAGCCAAATCCAAAAACCAAAAGATTGTGTCAATTGATACAGAAAAGACTTTTGACAAAATCCAACACTCATTCATGATCAAAGCCCTATAGAAAATTGGAATAGATGGATTCTTAACTCAAACTGATAAAAGTCGTCAATGACAATCCAATACCCAATGTAATTCTAAGTGGGGGAAAACTGAAATCTTTTAGTCTCAGATCTGGTACAAGACAAGGATGTCCTCTATCACCACTCCTATTCAGTATAGTTCTGGAATCATTAGCTAGAGCCATCAGAAGACAAAGTTAGGGGGCCGGGGAGATGGCTCAGTAGAATAAGCACTTGCCTGGCAAGTGCAAGGACCTGAGTTCAATCCCCGGTTCTACCAGGAAAAAAAAAAAAGACAAAGTGAAATAAAATAAATAAATAGGTAAAGAAGTTAAAGTATCATCATTTGCAGATGTCATGATACCCTACCTGGAAGACCCAAAAAACTCCACCAAGAAGCTCATGAAATTAATACACAAATTCAGTAGCATAGTGAAGTCATACCCAAAAGTCAATAGCATTCCTCTACTAAGATAACAATAACACAGAGAGGGAAATAAGAGAAACAATACACATTACAAAAGCATCTCAAGAAGTGAAATACATAGGAATTAATCTAATGAAAGGAGTAAAAGATCTATTCAAGCAAAATTATACTGCTCTGAGAAAAACATGACTGAAAAGGATTTCAGACAATGGAAAGATATTCCTTGCTCCTGGGTATGAAGAACCAACACTGTGAAGATGGCCATACTCCCAAAATTGTTATACAGATTTAATGCAATCCCTATCAAAATACTATCAACATACCCTAAGATCTAGAGAAAACATTCCTAAAATTTTTTTGGAGCCAGGAAAGACCTAGAATAGCAGAGACAATTCTGGGCAACAAAGGCAAGGCCGGAGGCATTACAATTCCTGATTTGAAGTTATACTACAAAGTGACTGTTATAAAATCAACATGGTACTGGGGAAAAAAACAGACCTGAGGATCAGTGGAAAACATTAGAAGATGCAGATACAACTCCAAACATACTCAGCCACCTCATGCTGACAAAGCGGTCAAAAATGTTCACTGGAAGAAAGATCACCTCTTTAACAAATGTTGGCTTTCCTTGCTGCCTCCCTTTTTTCTCTAATTTTGGACTGCAAACTTAGGTTGTTAACCCTCTAGAAGGAAGCTTATTGTTATCACCATACAACCTAGGCTGTTAAGCTTAACCTCACTATCTGTCTGAATATCAAACATCTTAGGCATAACATGGAACAGGTATTTTTCATCAAGTATTGATATGTTGAACTTCAAGTCTCTATAGAATATGGTGAAAAAACATTT